CAAATGCTAACACGGTGCCACTTCACTTCCGTGTGGGATCTGAAAACATTAAAGGGGATTTATAGAGTCAGATAGCACAGAGGTGGCTGCCGGACGCGGTGGGTGGGTAGGAGGCGGGCACAATGGTGGGGGGGGGGGGAAGCATCAGTAAAAAGAATCCATTCTGTTGACAGAGAATGCGCAGCGGTAAAATAAGTTCAATGGAGGCAAGTTCTGAGGACGTGCCCATAAGCAAGACCTCAGCAGACGGAGGAAACCTTTCAGGGAACAGCAGCTTCGCGCTCAGTCTGGACGCTGGACTCCCAGGGGAGAGCGAGGGGTCAGTTACCTCAAGGCCACGGGTGTTTGGGGGCGGAGAAAGCAAAGCAGGGAGGCCTCTGGGATGAGGACGGCGGGAGAGACTCACCTTCCCACGGAGGGGCAGGCGTCCACGGGGAACCGTGCGGCCGCGGAGACAGCATTCAGGGCCCCAGGGTCTGGAAAAGAGATTATTCTTTTTTTATTTTTAAACATTTTTATTGATTTCAGAGAGGAAGAGGGAGGGAGAGACAGTAACATCAATGATGAGAGAGAATCACCCATCAGCTGCCTCCTGCACGCCCCCCATTGGGGATCAGGTCCACAATCCAGGCTCGTGGCCCTGACTGGAATAGAACCCGGGACCTTTCAGTCTGCAGGCTGATGCTCTACCCACTGAGCTAGGCCAGCCAGGGCAAGATTATTTTTAATATATACTGAAGGGTCAGATTATTATGATCTCTGAACGCATAATAATCTGACCACTCTGTGTGTGTGTGTGTGTGTGTGTGTGTGTGTGTGTGTGTGTTAGAGGCCTGGTGCCTGAATTAGTGCATGGGTCCAGTCAGCCTGGCCACAGGGAGGGGGGACATGGGTGGTTGGCCAGCTTGCCTGCTGGTCAAACTCCTAGTCAAGGGGACAATTTGCATATGAGCCTTTTATTATATAAGATAGACACGGAGTGGCCAGATGATTATGTGTTCAGAGATCATCATCATCTGGCCACTCAGTGTGCATTTCAGTTGATTCAGAGAGGAAGGGAGAAGGAGAGAGAGAGAAACATCGGTGATGAGTGTGTGTGTGTCCTGTCTGTGCCCTGAACGGGCCTTTTGGTTCAAAGGTCGATGCTCAGCCAGGAGCCACGGCGGGCGGGTGAGTTACTCTGACATCAAAGGTGTGTGCACCCGATGCAAAGCGACCATAGATGGGCTGAGGTCCGGGGAGCCGAGGCCAGGCCGGACTCCCGGCCATGGCCGCGCTGGGTAGGAAGGTTCACATCCAGACCATCCTGCCTGGTGACTCTGGTCCCGACGTGGCCAGGCTGCCTGCAGCCCCCTGAGCTTGTGAGGGGTGGCAGGTGGCCCCAGGCACCCACACTTCATGGCCGTCTCTGAAGGACGGTGAGATTCTGGGGGGGGAGAGGCAGGGGATTCTGGGCCCCGGGGGAGAGGTGGGAGGGGGAGGGCCAGGCCCAAAGGCCAGATAAACGGGTGGAAGTGTACATGGGCTGGAAAAAACAACAGCTTCAGTTGTCATGGAAACGGTTTATTCCAACAGACACACGCTGAACACAAAGGGCTGAAATAAATGAGTCATCGTTAACATAAAATAATAGAACATTTTAATAAAAATATGTTTTTCTTGAACATTAACTTACCAGACACTGAATAACTGCACAAATAATAAGCGTAACGCAAATAAACCCGTTTTTCTCGTTCTCTGAAAGTGAGATATTTCCCTTTGCGCACACCAGACAGGTCAGTCCAAGACCAATGACGTGACCATCGGCTGCTAGAACGTTCTCTGCTGTATTAGTGGGGAGACGCAGTGTGTCTACGCATAAGGCAGTAAGGAAGATGAACGAAATACGATGATAGTCACCAGTCATTAGCGCACGTGGCAGCTCGTTATTAGTAATTATGTACAACAGGATGCTGTAAAAATTAAGTTGTGAGCCGAAACCGGTTTGGCTCAGTGGTAGAGCATCGGTCTGCGGACTGAAAGGTCCCGGGTTCGATTCCGGTCAAGGGCATGTACCTTGGTTGCGGGCACATCCCCAGTAGGGGGTGTGCAAGAGGCAACTGGTCGATGTTTCTCTCTCATCGACGTTTCTAGCTCTCTATCTCTCTCCCTTCCTCTCTGTAAAAAAAATCAATAAAATATATTTAAAAAAAAATTAAGTTGCGAAATTTTTATGAAAACGTTTCTCATGCCGTTACACTGGCGGGGCCGACGTGCTTGCTCGGCAGCGTGGGGCCCGGGGGGGGGGGGGCACGCCCGCGTGTGCGGGCAGCTCTCCGACGACCCTCCGGGACCTCTGCCCTGAGCACAGGGCCGACCAGGCCCGGCGGGTGTTCTCGGGCTTCGCCTGAGGGGAGCACCTTCACCTGAGCTGAAATCCAGCTCTTGCTTCCTGAAACCTGAGGAGACCTTGGCCTCGGGCGCAAAGGCCCTTTTGCCGGCGGGCAGCTTATGCAACGGGGAGCCGGGAGCCGTGCCAGCTGGAGAGCCAAGGCCGCGGCCGGCTCCTGGGGCGACACCGCGTGCGGGTGTGCATCCCTGACCCGGAATGCTTCAGAGTCCAAGGGTCCCAGCGCACGCGTGCGCGCGCGCGCACACACACACACACACACACACACACACACACACACACACACGGACTGCAGCCCGGCACCAGACGCGGCTGGAATAGCCTCGGCCTCGGCCCACTCTGGCCTTGGATTAGGCCTCAGCATCTCCCAGCCCCAGCCTCCCTCTCTCCCAGCCCCCAGCCTCCCAGCCCCCAGCCTCCCTGCCTCCCAGCCTCCCAGCTCCAGCCCCCCAGCCTCCCTCTCTCCCTGCCTCCCAGCTTCCCAGCCCCCAGCCTCCCTGCCTCCCAGCTCCAGCCCCCCAGCCTCCCTCTCTCCCAGCCTCCCAGCCTCCCTCTCTCCCTGCCCCCAGCCTCCCTCTCTCCCTGCCTCCGGCCTCCCTGCCTCCCAGCCTCCCTCTCTCCCAGCCTCCCAGCCCCCAGCCTCCCTCTCTCCCAGCCCCCCAGCCTCCCTCTCTCCCTGCCTCCGGCCTCCCTGCCCCCCAGTGGAGCACTGCAGGGCCAGGCGGGCACCTGGTGCGGAGGGCACTCGGGGAGGGGGCAGATCTCAGCACACGGGGCTTCTCCCTGCTCTGCCGCCTCCTCTCCGGGACCCTGGCCCGGCCCCGGAGCCGAGCAGCTGGGCACCAGCCGGGGTCCTCCACGGGAGGCCCAGACGGGCGGCCTCAGGGCGGCTGGGGACGAGGGCGGGAGGCAATCCGTGCCGCCCAGACCCAGAGCCAGGAACACGCACCCTCGCACCCCGCCGCGGCAGCCTGCGGGCCGGCTCCTCTCACCGGGCGGGCAGGCGGGCAGCACCTTCGTTTGTTCTCAGGCTCAGCCTGGGGGACAGAGGCAAGATTCACCCCATCACTCCCCTTCCCCAGGTCACCCACAGAACTGTTCTCCCGATGCGAGTGTGAGTGTGTGTGTGTGAGCGTGTGTGTGTATGTGTGAGCGTGTGTATATGTGTGTATATATGTGTGTGAGTGTGTGTGTGTGAGCGTGTATATGTGTGTGTGTGAGAGTGTGTGTGTGAGTGTGTGAGTGAGCGTGGGTGTGTGACGTGTATATGTGTGTATATGTGTGAGAGCGCACGTGTGTATGTGACTCTGTGTGAGCGTGTATGTGTGTGTGTGACTGTGTGTGAGCGTGTGTGTGTGTGTGTGTGTGTGTGTGTATGGGGGGAGGAGAAGGGTGGGGGACTCTCACTCTAAGCTGCAGGTATTCTGCAAAGGCCTCTCGGTGTGGACACCGGGAGGGAGAATCTGTGTGGACACCGGGAGGGAAGAATCGGTGTGGACACCGGGAGGGGAGAATCGGTGTGGACAGCGGGAGGGGAGAATCTGTGTGGACACCGGGAGGGGAGAATCTGTGTGGACACCAGGAGGGAAGAATTGGTGTGGACAGCGGGAGGGAGAATCGGTGTGGACACCGGGAGGGGAGAATCGGTGTGGACACCGGGAGGGGAGAACGCGGGCGCTGGACTCCCGTCCAGGGCGCCCCGCCCGGAGCGGCTCTCAGAGGGCCCTGAGGGCGGGCCCTTCACACGGACACAGAGGTCCCGGGCCAGTGCTGGCCGCTCCCTCCGCGCTGCCGGATCCTCCCCGAGAAGCGGGTCCGGGCCCGGGGGGCGGAGCGGACACATAGGGGGCCCGGGGGGCAGTGCGGACACACAGGGGGCTCGGGGGGGCGGTGCGGACACACAGGGGGGACGGGGTTGGGGTGGGGTCCGGCCGGGCCCGGGGCGGTGCGGAGAGCTGGGGACCGATCGTCCTCACTGGCCGGACGGCGGCCCCTCGGCCGGGCTCTCAGCGGGCTGGTGGGCGCCGCCGCCTCCGGTGGGTCCGTCCGAGGCCCGTGTCCATCCTGCCAGACGCGGGAGCGCCGTGTGGGGCCGGAGCCGGGCCTGCGCGCTGCCGGGACCGGCCGGACGGGCCGGGGCGGGGCGCGGGCGGCGCCGAGCGGAGGACCGGGCGGACCGCAGGGCCGGGCCCGGCCCGCTCCCTCCTCCCCGCGGGCGGCCGGCTGCGGCTCAGACCGGGGGCAGGCGCGGGCCGTTAGTCCGCGCGGCCTCTCCGCTGGCGGCCTCCCGCCGGGGGAGGGGAGCGCGGCCGCCGGCGCCGGGAGCCGGGAGCCGCCGGGCGGAGCCTCACGCCGCGGCGTGGCCCGGGCCGGGCCCGCGGGCCCCAGGCCTCCCCGGCCGCGTCCCCGCCGGCGGAGGGGGCGGGCTCAATCGCCGCGGCCACGCCCCTCTCATCCAGTCTAGGCCAGTCGCGTCCCTAGGCCTCCGCGAGCAGTGATTGGCCCCGGGCCGGAGGGCGGGGCGCGGGCCCGGCCTATAAGAGGCGTCGCCCCTGCGTCGGCGCGTCCTGCGGCGTCTCCGGTCCCCGCTGTCCGCTCGGAGCCGCGAGCCATGACGACCAAGGCCGTGTGCGTGCTGCGCGGCGAGGGCGACGTGCGGGGCCACATCCACTTCGAGCAGAAGGCAAGGCGCCGCCGCGGTGCTGAGTCACGGGCGCGGGCGGCGCGGGCCGCGGGCCGCGGGCCCCGGGGCGAGGGCGGAGGGGGAAGGGAGGAGGCCGCGGCCTGGCGGGCGGGGCCGGCGCCGCGGGCCGCCCGGCGCTCCCGGGGCCGCTGCGCCTGGAGCGGCCGCCTGGCGCCGCGGGGCGGGCCGCCGGGTCGCCGGGCCCTGGTCCCTGGGCCCCGCGGCGCCCTGAGCCGCCCCCGCGCCCCGGGGCCCCCGGGCCCGTCCGCCGGGGCCGCCCTCGCGCCGCGGCGCCGGTGTCGGGGTTAAAGGTCGTGAGCCTGTGGGCCCGCGGCCCGCGCGGCCTGGGGGCTCTGACCCGCCCGGGTCACGGCCAGGCGCCCGCGGGAGCCCGCCCCGCCCCGCGGCCCTGGGACCCGAGCTGCCGCGCCGCCGCCGGCCCCGGGGGGGCGGGTGCGTGTCCGCGGGGCGCGCGGCGGGAGGCCCGGGTCCCCGCGGGAAGCTCGCTCGCTCCCCACCCCGTTCCCCCCGGTTCCCCTCGGTGCTCCGGGCCCGGCCCGAAGCCGCTCTGCCCCCCGGCCCTGGAGGGCCAAACAGCCGGGCCACCGCGGGAGACTGGCGAGGCGCCCGCCCCGGCACCGCGCAGCGGGCCCCGGTGCCCGGAGGAGGCTCCCGGCCTTGCACTCAGCCCTGCGTTTCCGTTGGCCGGGCCCTGCGCTGGCCGCCTCTGCCCCGCGCAGAAGCCGCTGGAAGCCAGGGGCGGAGGAGCGGGCGGAGAGGGGAGGGAGCTGTGGGTCCCGATAAAGGCCTGGGGGTGCGGATAGGAGGCCCCGCTCAGAGCTGGCCTGTGGAGCGCGTACAGTTTTGGCGTTTCCCAGTTTTTTTAAATCAGCAAGTGCAGCTGCAGGTGCAGACCTCAGCGTCCTTGGAGCATTTACGAGAGCGGGGGAGAGAGAGAGAGAGAGAAACATGGATCACCTGCTTCCTGCACACCCTCCACTGCGGATGTGCCCACAACCAAAGTACATGCCATTGACGGGCTTTGAACCTGGAACCCTTCAGTCCGCAGGCCAACGCTCTGCCCACTGAGCCACACCGGCCAGGGCTGTTTTTTTCTGTGTGTGTTGTTTTTTTTTAGAAAGCAAAAAAGGGTAGCAGTTACCACAGGACTTGATTGGAGCCCCTCCTTGTCCAGCGGCAGGTCCTTGTGAGGGCTGCCCCCTGGTAACAAGTGGAGCCTGTGGGTGGCCAGGGTTCCTCTGCCTAGTGAGGTCCTGATCTGCACACAGCCACACCATGGTCTTGTGCCCTTTAGAGGCAAACTGTGTGTGCTGAACGGAGGGGCAAAGGATGGCCTCACGTCGGGGGCACAGCCGGGCATGTTCACATTCCCACCGGGAGGGTGCACCTGCTCAGAAGCATTCCGAGTAAACAACTTCCTCACGGGCCCTGCAAGGGCAGACTCCATGGAGCCTCCAAGTCCACGTTCCCTGCTCTCTGCCCGGCCTGTGCCGGCCTGGGGTTCCGGCCAGGATGCACCTCCCTCCCCGCTCCCCTCCGCGAGGGGGCGGGTACTCGTGCCCGGCTCTCGGCCACTCAAACCCGCGCTTTTCCGGACAGGGGAACGGGCCGGTCATCGTCACGGGCTCCATCTCGGGACTGACCCCGGGCGAGCACGGCTTCCACGTCCACCAGTTCGGAGACAACACCCAAGGTGGGTGCGATGGGGCCCGGGGACTCGGACCGCCAGCCAGGGCTGGGCCCCAAACTGGAACGGAAGGGGCGGGGTTTGGTTTGTTCAGATGGTGAGTGTACCCTCGGCTCCTCCCGCTGGTGCTCCCGGTGGGGGGTGGCGGGGGGCACTTGGTCCTCCGCCTGGTCCTGTGAGAACAGCCCCCCCCCCCCCCCCGCCCCTCAGGACGGAGCACACGGGGCCGCTCCGCTGTCCCGCCTGGGGGGCGGGTCAGAAGCAGGTTCGGTGCTCGGGTGGGAATGCTCGCGGGGATCCTGCTGCTGAGAACACGATTCGATCCGGGAAACGTGTTCTGAACGTTGAAAGCTGGGCTCTTGAGGGCGAAGTGGAGGGAGCAGACTGGATGGCTCACCCATTTCAGAATCCCCACTGCCTCGTGGTTTCCCTGCCCCGCTCTGGGAGCCGGCTCTGCGCTCTGGTCACTGCGAGGGGACCCTGCCCGCCCCGGAGCGGCCCTCATGGGAACTGGGGCGCGGGGCTACGTCTGCGAGCTCGCGGTGCAGCGGCAGGTGCTGGGCCGGCGAGCTGCTCTCAGCGTGGTCCGAGCTGGTCTGAGGTCCGAGTGCCCCCGGGAGCTGTGCTGCCCGAGCTGGCGAGGCCGCCTGCCCTGGGCACGGGAGCTGGGCCTGTAGTCAAGGTTTCCTGCCTTCGGGCACACCGGGTGGTATTCGGGGTTAACAGAACCGTGGGCGCCCAGAGCAGGTGTGAGCTTGCCCGGCACAGGGAGCTGAGCCCTCGTCCCGCCCGCCCGGGCTGCCAGTTCTCCGGGCCTGGAGATCACGTTTTGTTGGAGGGTTTAGCAATGACAGGATAATAGGTTTTGCGATTTCACTTCATAATTTGTTTTTTTGTTGTAACTAGGCTGTACCAGTGCAGGTCCTCACTTTAACCCTCTGTCCAAGAACCACGGCGGGCCGAAGGACGAGGAGAGGTGAGCACGCAGCGCGGAGCGCCTGTGGGAAGTGGGTGGGGGCGTGCACTCCGCACTGCGCTACAGAAGCGGGGCCACTGCCCCCCGCTGCGGGCCAAGGCGCTGACACACGGGCCAGCTAGAGCGATGTGGTCTCCACGCTTACTGAGGCCGAGGGCACTGCGGTGATGGACAGCGCTGCCCACACCAGCACAGCTCAGCTCAGCCGGAAAGGGAGCTGGTGGGCCAGGTCTGAGCCAAGGTCCCGTGAGACTCCATGCGAACGTTTCCTGCGAGCCTCAGGGAGAGGTCAAGGGCAAGGATTGTTTGTTTTGTGACAGGCCTGGGGCAGAGCAAGGCAGCAGGGCCGGGAGCCACCATGTCCCGTCAGTGCCCGCTTGATTTTATTTTATTTTTTTAAATTAATTTATTTTGATTTTTTTTTGCCCCCCTCCCTCCCTCACGTACCCTCGCTCCCCAGAGTTTTATGTCCATTGGTTGTACTTATATGCATGTATACAAGTCCGTCAGTTGACCTATTATCTCCCCCAGATCTCCCTCCCCTCCCCACTGTAATTTGACAATCTGCTTGTTGCTTTACTGTCTATATCTATCTTTTGGTTCATCAGTTTATAATGTTCTTTATTATCCATAAATGAGTGAGGCCATGTAGTGTTTCTTTCATTGACTGGCTATTTCACTCAGCATGATGTTCTCCAGTTCCATCCAGGTTGCTGCAAATGATGAGAATGCCTTCTTTTTTATGGCAGCATAGTATTCCATTGTGTAGATGTACCACAGTTTTTTGATCCAATCATCTGCTGACGGGCACCTAGGCTGTTTCCAAATCCTAGCTATTGTAGATTGTGCTGCTATGAACATAGGGGTGCATATGTCCTTTCTGATTGGTGTTTCTGGTTTCTTGGGATATATTCCTAGAAGTGGGATTACTGGGTCAAATGGGAGTTCCATTTTCAGTTTTTTGAGGAAGCTCCATACTGTTCTCCACAGTGGTTGCACCAGTCTGCATTCCCACCAGCAGCGCACGAGGGTTCCTTTTTCTCCACAACCTCGCCAACACTTGTTGTTTGTTGATTTGTTGATGTTGGCCATTCTGACAGGTGTGAGATGGTACTGCATTGTTATTTTGATTTGCATCTCTCGGATAATTAGTGACTTTGAGCATGTTTTCATGTGCCTTTTGGCCTGCCTTCTGTCTTCTTTTGAAAATATTCTATTTAGGTCCATTGCCCATTTTTTAATTGGATCATTCATCTTCCTTTTATTTAGTTGTCTCAGCTGTCTGTAGATGTTGGAGATTAAACCTTTATCGGTGGTATTATTTGCAAATATATTCTCCCACACCGTGGGCTTTCTTGTTGTTTTGTTGGTTTCTTTTGCTGTAAAAAGCTTTTTGTTTTGATGTAGTCCCATTTGCTTATTTTGCTTGTTTTTACTTCGTTATAATTTTAGAACTAGAGGCCTGGTGCGCGAGTGTGTGCCTGGTGGGGTCCCTCAGCCTGGCCTGTGGTTATTGGGCTGAAACTGGCAGGCCAGCATCCCCGGAGGGGTCCTGGAGGGCGTGAGGAGGGCACTCTGCAAAGTTGCTGTCGCTCGGCAGCTCCTGCATTGAGTGTCTGCCCCTGGTGGTCAGTGCACACCATAGCTACTGGCCGGTCACCTGGGCTTTTGTATGTGTTAGTAGCTCAGCTACGGGGGCCCACTCTCAGCGGCCATCTTTGAGGATGTGACAGTAATTAGCATACTCCCTCCTTATTGGCTGTGGGTGCTGCCATCTTTGTGAGGGCATGTGACAGTGAAATATGACAGTGAAATAGTATTATTCTCTCTTCATTAGTTAGGCTATTTTTATTGATTTCAGAGAGGAAGGGAGAGAAGAAGAGTGATAGGAACATCAGTGATGAGAAAGCCCAGAACCCAGGCATGTGCCCTTGACTAGAGTCAAATGCAGGACCCCTCCGTCCACCTGACACTATCCACTGAGCCAAACAGGCTACGGTGGGCTGGGCCTGTCTGCAGCTGAGCCTGCTGTCTAACGTGGTTCCTGTCCAATCCACGCTGTGCCCACATCTCAGCCGAGCTGTGTCTGTTTACAACTTAGTCCTGAACCTCTGGTGCTTCCTCCGTGCCAGGCATGTCGGGGATCTGGGCAATGTGAAGGCGGAAGCGGACGGTGTGGCCAAGGTGTTCATCGAAGACTCCATGATCAAGCTCTCGGGAGAACATTCCATCATCGGCCGCACAATGGTGGTGAGTGTCCCATGGGAGGGTGTGCACACCACTTTGCTGTAAACGCCACAAAGCCAATCGCTCCCCGTAGTCAGATGTGGATCGTTTGTGGCGAACCCTGGCTCCTGAGGGGCTGCGTATGGCGCTTTGGTTCCGACGAGAAAGGGCTGCAGGGAGAGGAGCCGGTGCCGGAGCCAGGGCCAGTGCGGAGACGATGTGGGCAGGTGGCAGGCGCTGTGGCCTGCACCAGTCTCTGAGTCAGTGGCTGCAGCCTGTGCTGTTGTAACAGTTAGTCTCGGGCGGGCCCAGTGTGGCCCTCACTCACGTCTGTGCTTGGACGTCAGCACGTTTGGCCTGGGAAGCGGCGTCGGCTGGCACAGGTCGCCGGGTGAGGACAGCGGCCTCGGAGGTCACCTCAGCGGCAACCCTGGGGCCGTGAGAAGCCTCCTCGGCCTCTGTGAGAAGCAGGAGGACGTCTGGGTGTCTGGTAGAGAAATGTAAGGTCCTGCTTTCCAGTGGTTAAGCTGTTGTAAGGGTCACTCTTCCTTACTGGCTAGTCACTGGGTTCCGGAGTGTTTTCTGAGGGGGTCACGTGAGCTCTTTCCGGAGCCCGCTGCACTGCCGGATAAACAGACGTACCGGGTTCCTGTGGCGTGTTCTCGCCCGACACCGAGCGGTTCCTGTGGAATCTGGGTGTTGGGGAGAAGGCAGAGACGTGCTATCCTGTCATGGTCTCCATGTTTTTTCCAGGTCCACGAGAAGCAAGATGACCTGGGCAGAGGGAACAATGAGGAGAGCAAGAAGACGGGCAACGCAGGGAGCCGCCTGGCCTGCGGGGTGATCGGGATCGCCCAGTGAGCACTCCGGCCGCCTGCGTGCCGATCCTGTCCTAGTTGTAGAATTTACCGATAAACATTAAACACTTACCTCCGCGGTGCGATCTGTCTTTCTTAAGACAGCTTTAGGTTCCTGTAACGTGAGTCACCGTCACTTGGAAGGTCTGTGTGATTGTGTAAATCTATTCCATTAAAATGTTTCAATGATCGCTGTGTTTGGCCAGCTTTAATCACACATGGTTGTGACCACTGGATTGTTAGTTACACGTTCCTCTTCGGATGTGTGACGTGTAAAGGACACCCTGGACAGCGCTCCCCTGGCGCCCTCGGCCGCGCAGTGGCGTTTTGTGAGCCTGTGCCGACCGCTCAGCTGGTCTGAGCGGAGCCTGACGGATGGGCTTGGACCGGGATGCGTGTGCCCTCCTGGGCAGCTCCAGGGGAGGTCACCACTTAGCGTGCAACGCAAGTGCACCCACTCACGGGTCCTGTGGCCGAGGGCCTGGGCAGCTTGGCTTTGCCCACTGAGGTGATGTCACCGACCTGCCCATCAGGCGGCGGGTGGCGCGGAGGGGCCCTCTGAGAATTCCTCGCTGCTCCTGTGAGCGGAGCTTCTTAAACGCCCACCGAACCCGGGTTCAACGGGTGCGGCGTCTCAGTTGGAGTTTGTACAATTTGGAGTGACTGCTGTAAAGTAGATCCTTTAGGAGGAAGAGCTAATTAAAAAAGGCAAGTTGTTTTCAAAGTTAAAGTAGTTAACCACGTGCTCACAGTAAATGTCACCCTGCTCTCATCGGGGAGCCCAACAGTCACAAATGCAGGTGGGATCCCACACGGACTCCCCGTGGGCGTGCCACCCCTGGGACTCCGCGAGGGCTGTGCACATCAGCGATCTCAGACTTACAACTGGAAACGGGCTGCGAGGCCTTGAAGTCGGACCTAAGTAACCGATGCTCGCTTCTCCCCTGAGCAGCTGGCCAGGACGTGAGCTCAGTGGCCCGGAGCAAGTTTAGAGCTCACGTCTGCAGAACAGGATGTGGCAAACGGCCTCGCTCAGGGCACCGGGAAGCCGGGCCAGCTCTGCCTGCAGGGGGCGGGAAGTTACTGCTCACACACTGACCGGGCCGCTGTAAACGTGATGCGAAAGCATCCGGGCCGGGAGCTCTGCTGTGGACACGCAGGGCAGCTTCTGACACCGGGTGGGCGAGCGAGCGAGCGAGGGGCTGCTGTGAACACGGGCCTACGCATCTGGGTGACTTACCTTCTCCCAGTTCACCCTTTTAACAGACGCCCTTCAGGGGTGGCAGAAAGCCGAGTCCACCCCTGTCCAGACAGGCGTCCACAAAACCAGTCAAGAAAGGCAACAGTAGGGCTCGCAGGCACCACAGGCTGCATTCAAGTCCTCAAACGCAAAACACGTTCATCTTCACTTCCATCCCCGGAGAGCACGGAGGCTGGTGAGCAAACGCAGGCCTTGTCAGTAAGGACACCGGGCAACCAGGGGCTGGAGGACAACCGGGGGCGATGGCTCAGCCTCCCCAGCAAAGTCTCTACAGATGAATTGGCATAGTTACCGCGGAGCCAATGGCAAAACCCCTGAAAAAGCAAACCCACAAACCTTGACTGAACTGCAAACCAAGCGTAAGCCACCACCGTGCACCGTATGCTCCCGCCGCTCCAAGGTGAAGCATCACCAATGGACTCCTCCAGCAGCTGGCTCAGGCCGAGGGGCAGCCCAGCGGGCATGAAGAACAGCACACGTCACACTTGTTACGAAAATAGAGTTTATTAAAAACATCCCTATTGCTGAGGAGCTTTCACGGTTAACCTTAAATTAAAAAAAAAAAAAAAATATAGAGCACTTCTAATTACGATTTGTAAACTTTTTAAAGTCAAAACTTTAAAAAAGTTACAGCAAAAAGGGTAATATTTATTCGTATTTTCAGTATTTTTTGTTATTTTGTGGCTATTTTTAAATAGAAGGGAGCAATCAAATTGCTTACAGCGCCCACGGTCACTCCCGGGCGCCAGCGGAGCAGGATGATACAGCACTGTACACTGCGCCCAGGGCCGCCCGCGCCGGCTAGCGGGCCTCGGCCGCCGCGGGGTCCTTCTCCGGGTCTGCGGGTGAGGTAGCCTCTGCGGGCCGCTCTTCGGCAGGCGGGGCGGGCGCCGGCTCGGCCGCCCCCTGGGCGAGGTCCGGGGCGGGGTCTGTGCCCCCCGCCTGGGCCGGGGGCGGCTCGGCGGCCCTGTCGGCCCCCTCGGCCTTCTCCTTGGCCCGGGCCTCCTCCTTCTCCCGGCGGGGCTCCCTATCCCTCGAATCTCTCTCGCGGTCGCGGTGCCCACCAGCCCGCCGGCCTCTGTCCTCGGCGTCTCTGTGTCTGTCCCGCTCAGGGCTCCTCCGTCCCCACTCCCGCCTCTCGCGGCCGCTGTTCTCCCTCTCGTCGCCGCGGCTGCCGTAGCGGTCCCGCTCGCTGTCCACCCTATTGCCGAAGGACCGCCTCCCGAACCTCTCCTGGTCTCTCCCCGAACCGAACTGCTGCCTGCTGTCGTTCCTGAAGGGCGGCTGCTGCTGCGCGGGGGGCGGCTGCTGCGCGGGCGGCGGCTGCTGGGGCTGCGTGGGGGGCGGCTGCTGCTGCTGCTGCTGCTGCCTCCCGTCTCTGTCTTCGGGGCCCCCCGGGCCCGGCCCCGGGCCCCCGAGCCCCGGCATGCCCCCAGGCCGCACGAAGGGGCCGTGCGGCGGGAAGGGGCCTTTCATGGCGTGGGGCGGGGGCATGCCGAAGCCCCCGGGGCCGGGCGGCGGGCCCCGGTGCATCATGTGGGGCGGCATGGGCCGGGGCGGCATCAGCGGGAAGCGCTGCAGGTGAGGCGGAGGCATGCCCGGCGGGCGCTGCAGGGGGATCAGCCCGGGGCGGGCCCCCAGAAGGCCCGTGGACGGGGCCTGCAGCCCAATCACAGGCCCGGGCGCCACTCCTTGAGAACCTGGAAGGCAAGGAGAGGCTGTGAGCGAGGAAGGAGAAACCCCGCCCACAGTCAGACTGCCGAGTGCCAGTTCACCGTCAGCCAGGCCACGTGGTCGGCAAGATGCCCGTGTGTTATACAGGCCGGCACACGGCACCAGCCCCTGAGCAGAGGCCAGGGAATGGATGCACCGACTCCCGGGAAGAGGGCTGACCACAAGCTGCGTGCTGAGACCGAGACCACACTCACTCCAGACAACTGAGGCCCCTGAGGCTTAGGGGGGGCCCCAGCTCCTCTTAGGGGAGCCCCAGCGCCCAGGAAAGGGCAACACGCCTTCCTTTGACCCATCGCGCTGAGCAGCGTCCAGGTGGTGGCCTCATGGCTGTGCAGCGGCTGCAGCCTAAAGGCCACGCGGCCGTGAGCAGCCTGGGAAGCAAGCGGCCGTGGCTGCGAGGCCCAGAGTCCCTGAGGGCCGCGCCGCTCGGTCCCCTTTGGAAGAGACAGACCAGCCCTGGCCCGTGTGGCTCAGTGGAGGGAGCGTCTGCCAGCGGGCTGAAGGGTCCTGGTTCAATTCCAGCCAAGGGCACAGCCCCGGGGTGCAGGCTTTGTCCCCAAGTGGGGGCGTGCACGAGGCAGCCAATCAGTGATTCTCTCTCATCACTGATGTTTCTCTCCCTCACCCTCCCTTCCTCCCTGAAATCAATACAAACATATTTTTTAAAAAGAAAGAGAAGGGACAGACTTGCTGGCTTACGTGCCATCTACGAGACCTGGCCTTGCTTCCGCTGAAGGTCACACGGGTAAGACGTATTTCTGTGGGGCTCACACTTGGTGCCAGAAAGACACTGCCGTGAGCTTTCACTTTACTTCCCTGCCTACCTACACGAGGCAGACACTGCGGCTGGAGTGGCCGCAGGGACACTGGTGACCGTCAGGTGCTCAGCACAGCTGCAGAGCCTCTGAGCACGGCCGGTGCAGCCCCACGCGCGCTCACACCGTCCACATCCCGCCCTCCGCTCCCATCACAGACACTCCTGTGTGTCCTCAGCACACGCACGACCGGAGTTCCCGCTGCTCAGGGCGTGGCCGCTGTCTCGCGGGCCGCACTGCCCGCCGCTGTGATGGGGCACACGCCCTCCCACGCATGGAGACAGAGCCTGGTGATGGGAAGCGTGTGGGGGGCCTGGGACAGGGCCTGGAGGGCGGTCACCTCGCCTCTGCCTGACTGCCGTGTGCAGCGGCGTGTGCTTTCCCAACAGGAGCCGTGTTCCATTTAAAACGGACCGGGGTGCCGGCTGAGTCTCCGGTTCTCACTGGGAAGGAGATGGGGCGGAGCGCGCGCCGCTAACGGTGTTCACAGCACGAGGACATGCACACAGCCCCCGGCCAGGCTCGTTCCCATGTGCACCGAGCCCCTCGGGAGCCGTCCCGGGTGCGGGCACAGAAACACGCATGGCCTTTCCCTTCAGAACGGGGGACGCAGCGCGGGGAGGAGAGAGGTGACGACAGACCGCGGCAGGGGGAGGCCGGCCAGGGCTGCGGCCTCAGGGGAGGACAGCAGGCCGCACGCAGGCCAGAGCCGGGGGCAGAGCCGGGGGCAGAGCCGGGGCCAGCGCGGCAGCGAGCGTCTATGAGGACAGAAGGCGAGATGGGTGCCCACTGACCGGCCCCTCGGAGCGCGGGGGCAGCCTCCCGGCCGCAGGGGCAGGAGCAGCAGCGGGGAAGTCTGCGCAGAGAGGCCCTCGGCTCCCTTGGGATGGCCTTCCAGAAGGAGTGCCAGGGAGCAGGCGGGGGGACACGGAGGGCAGGCCCATGGGCACGGCTCCTCACGAGGCAGGTGACGGGGCACACACAGCCCGAGAGCCTGCGACCGCGGGATGGCTGGTGAGCCTAGAGCTCCAAGAAAGTCACCCAGAACAGACGGAAAGGGAGGCGTCGGCCCGAGGAGCCGGCCCAGAGTAACCCCGACTCCACTGCATCCCCGGAGCCGGCCCGGCGGGTTCAGGGTGAAGCGTCCAGGTGAGAGGTCACTGCTGTCCAAGCGGACGGCGTCACAGGGCCTGCGGCCAGTGTGCACCGGAGGCCTCGGCAGAGTGCAGACCAGGGCACGGGTGTGGGCGAGGCCCGAGAGTTCCCGCTGGACACTCGGAGGGACCCCAGCCTCCTTCCAGAGGACACACGTTCAAGTGGGATCTTTAAAGAAAAGCCAGGGTTGGCTCCGTGCAGGGGGGGTGAGGGGGACAGGCAGTGGGCAGGGCAGGGCGACTGCTGGTGGCGGGGACCATGCCCTGCCTCCAGGGCCAGGAGCCTGGCTCCTCGTTACAAAGAACGGCATTGTCTCCAGGTGCTCGCTCCTCTCCCACCCGTCTGACTGCCCGGGAGCCATCTTCAGTCCTCCAGGTCCCCCGCCCGAGCCCCGGGTCCCTCACCACAGCCGCGGGGCCTACAGGCGACTCCTCCGCAGCTCTGCCTGCGCTGGCCGGGGCCGCCCGCCCGCCCGCCCGCCCTGCCGGCCAGCCGGCCCTGCTGTGGGCATAACCACTGCCAGTGCCCCATTCCCCTCCTCACTCTCTCCTGCCTCAGGAATCCACTTCACGCCCACAGTCCTCAGCCTGTCTGTTCCGAAGGAGCTCGCTGTTTCATAAAACGGGCCCACGTCCACTCGGGTGAGGTACACACTTCCAGGGGTTTTTGGCTCCTCGAGGTTGGGTGACCTCACAGACAACTGGGCAACATTTTCATCACACACACACACACACACACACACACACACACACACACACACACACACCCTGCCCCCTGCCATGTGCTGTGTCGGAGGGCTTGCCCGCTGCAGACAGGGTCGTGCAGAGTCCCAGCGCCATCCTGGGGGACAGGTCCCGCCCGGCCCCGCCGGCACACCGTCTCTGCTGCCCTTGGCAGCGATGGCCTTCCTGCCGCCCAAAGGGAAGGTTTGTGCCGGCCCTGCACCCACAAGCCTGCAGCGCCACTGCCACTGCCTCTGCTCCCGTCTGCGTCACACTTTGGTGACCTTCTCATGATTAATCCTGGGACCTGGGACCCTTGCTGTTATTATTTTAATTGTTTGGGAGCATCCAAATAGCGCCCGTTAAGAGAGTGAACAGCCCTAAGCTGGTTTGGCTCAGTAGACAGAGTGTTGGCCCGCGGACTGAAGGGTCCTGTGTTCAATTCCCGGTCAGGGTCCAGGCCCGGTTGTGGGCTCCATCCCCAGTGAGGCGTGCAGGAGGTAGCCGGTCCATGATTCTCTCTCATCATGGATGTTTCTCTCTCCTCCCTTCCTCTCTGAAATCAATAACAATAAAATGTAAAAAAAGACTAAACATAACCCATACCTGTTGTGTCCTGGCTGGACCACCGACCAGCTCCCACCTCTCCCTCTCCTCAGACCTCCCCCGTCCCCGAGACCCTGCTGCCCACGGACAGCCCATGGACAGCCCGTGACGGCCTCCAGGGTGAGGGAAAGGGGAAAAGCCGCACATCTCAAGAGAGAAACGGGTCAATGTGGGAGGAAAGCACATCAGCGCTGAAGTGGCCGGGCAGTGCGGGCGGAGGGGACGGTGAGGGAGGAGGGGTCAGTGAGGGAGGAGGGGACGGTGCGGGCGGAGGGGACGGTGAGGGAGGAGGGGACGGTGCGGGCGGAGGGGACGGTGAGGGAGGAGGGGACGGTGAGGGAGGAGGGGACGGTGAGGGAGGAGGGGCGGGTCGAGGGCACCATGGGAGAAATGAGGCAGCCACGGCCAGTGCCCGGCGGGAGTGCGGTGGACAGAGGACCACGCCAGCTCAGCACGCTCTGCCCGAAGCCCAGCCGGGCCCGGCCCGCGCCCTGGCCACGGCGGTGGAGGCTGCAGGGAGGAGGTGCCGCTGGCGGGGCCGGGCCCGGGGTTAAGGGTTAAGGGTGAGGGGTGAAGGGAAGAAGCCCCTCCGGAGAGAGGGCAGGGAAGCCACAGGAGCGGGTGGAGAGGCTGGCAGGGCGCCCAGGGACCCGCCTGGCACGAAGGAAGCAGACGCCACCTGTGACAGACCGTCAGGGCCGAGAGTCCATGCCGGAATGCCAAGGTCAAAGGGCAGGCTGAGCCCGGGGGGTTGAAGCCGATGCCCACCTACCACCTGGACCCAGTCCTCAGGCTCCCGCACCAGCAGGACACGCCGAGGACGGCTCGGCCTCCCGCCCACCGAGCGCCCGGTCCCCGGCCGTCCTGCCGCTCCCCCCGCCTGCAGCCCCGGCTCAGACTGCCCTTCAGATCTCCCCGCTGAGGGGGCCGCTGCAGGCCCACGGCTCCGCCGGCGGCGGCTCCTGCGACGGGTCTGGCGAGGCCATGGAAAGCCTCCCGGAAAGGCCTCCCCGTCGGGGCCAGGGAACAGGGCTGACGGGAGATGGCATGAGGGGCCAAGACCTCAGTGAGAAGTGACTGCAGCCGCGGGGACAGGGACAGGGAGAGGGGGACCCAGAATCAGCAGCGGGGCCGGAGCCCGGACTGACCGCTGTACCGGCCAGAGAGGAGCGGCACAAAGACAGGGCGTCCGAGATGGAGCCCCTGCAGCTCGGCGGAGGAACAGCCAAGGGTTTCCGGACTGGAAAACAGGCCCTCTGCCGCCGTAGGAGACGGCCACGGAGCCGGCTGCCACAGCTCCAGGCGAGGCCCTCCCGGCACCTCCCGGCTCCCGAGGCCGCCGGCTGGCCGGACAGATGATGGTGTCCAGTAGGGCGTGTGCGCTCCTGCAGACAGAACGCCGCGCACTCAGGAGCCCACGGCACGGTCAGCGCCCCTCACCCCCACCCCGCCCCGCCCCCTCTGGACGGTGAGGGCGGAGGGGACGGTGAGGGCGGAGGGGACGGTGAGGGCTGCGGCGTGGTGTCTGCCACCAAACCCAGCCCGTCATTACCAAGTCACATCCGTTCGAGGGACACCCTTTCGTCCCAGCTGGCTCATCGTTAAAAGCAGAGGAAGAGACGTTCACACCCCCCCGACCCCCGCCCTGCACCGTCGCCATCACTCCGG